GTCTTTAATGGCCAATGCTATCTGGTAGGACGTTTCGTGCCTGAAAACACAGATACCGGGATAAAGAATAGGATAACATTCAGTGCATTATATACCTACTTTTGCATTTAGTCACCTTGGCTGGTCGTTTCTAACAAATGACCAGTTGAGAATTGTAACGGGGCCTGTAAGCATTCCTTTCATAGGCCTCTTAGTCATATTCTGAGCCATTGAAGACCAAAAAACAGTCATGGCCTTGGGACGGCTCACATCACCGTAGATAATAGGTGGCTTGACACAACGGGATCCGTATGACTGAACCCACCCGTTCACAGTAAAGGCAAAGCCAGATAATTGCTCGCCAAAGTACTCGACCATATCGTTTCTCAGCATTAACAAAGCACGGTTGCAGAAAACAACGATAAATTAAAATCCTTGTTATTGCCATAAGAAGTTAAAACCTCACCTCTGGCTCTCCATGCACCAAAACATCGAGATCAAGCTCTTCCTGGAGGTTGACAACTTTTTTGATTTCCTCTTTGATGGTACTGACATAATCGTTTTCAGATATCCTACAAATATATGGACAGAACTGATGCTCCTTATGCAACGGAAAACAAAGATTCGAATAGCAAGAGAATTAAAAGCACCTAATCTCACTTTTTAGCCTTGTACTCACAGCGCACTCGTCTAAGTTCCGTGGTTTGGGGGTATGATCCACAGGTGGTTGTAGGAAGAATCGGTAGGTTCAACTTCTTCTGCTGAGCATCCAGTCTAGCACTCACATCCGTGGCTCGACGGTGATTGGAGCCCCTCAAGCCAGCAGCCTATGAACAGACCATAATTTAAGCAAAAAGGTCACGTACACCACCATTTCGGAAAAAGAAAAAAAAAATAAAGGTTCTATTAAAAACTACATACAGCCTTCTGCACAGCCTCATTTCTCACTCTAGGAGAGAATTTTCGTGAAGCATGAGCCACGGCATTCGAAGCAAAAAATGCCTGCAAGAGGGGGAAAAGGATAAAATAATAATAAGATACACATAGCAGTCCACATAATTACTTAGATCATAAACAGATTATTCAAAGTTATAGATAGGTTCTCAGCCTAGTAGATTGACTGACCATCAAGAAAAAAAGAGAGGTAGAGAAATGTGCAAGCTTCGCTTCTATAGAGTTCAATAATTGCTGATCAACACCACTTATAAGTAAAATTAGCAACAGCCTATAGTCTATAGCATTAACCTGCCAATACCAGTAAGAAAGAAATACCTCGTCCTTTTCCCCGACCAATGCCTTTGCCAAGGCATTTACTTCGACTATTTTTTGTGCTGCAAACGCGAGCCAGGACTTGAGCTCTTTGTCCAACTTAGTTTCATTCACAAGGTCCACCACAGTATGGAGAAGAGAGCATGATGTAGAGACCACAACTCTGCCTGTAGGACAACAAAACGAAAAACTGTTCTTAGCTTTCAGTAAATAACTTACAAAAATTCCAAGGAGAAATGAATGTAGTCATGTCTAAACACCTTTGCCAACAATACTCTCAAGAGCCTGTAGGGTATCAAGTGAAGAAGCAAGATCGTTTGCCCAAATGTTTCTTCCATCAACCACTCCAGCAAACAAGTATTTATCAGAAGGAAATCCACTCTTTATTAAGTTGAGAGTTCTCGTTCCGCGAACTAAATCAAATCCAAAGGCAGTAACACCTTTCAACGAAGTAAGTGTCTTGTATGTATCAACAGGAACATCAGCAAAATAAGTTTCAACAAGAACATTGAATCCGGATAAAGATGATCCTAACTCTGAGTAAGCATGAGTGAACGCTTGCAATTGATGGGATTCAAGGTCCAACACAAGGGTCGGCTCATCGAACTGAATCCATGTTGCACCTGCTGCCTTTAGTTCATCAATAACTTCCCTGTCATGTAACAAATATTAGAAAGCACTTGAGACATTATGGCTGCACATATTTGCAGTTTTACCGAGGCCAAGCAAGAATTTTAGAGCCTTACTTGTAAATTGGCAGGATCTTGCCTAGTAGAGAAAGAAGAGAGAATGGTTTATCCACACCCTTTGCTAGTTTTGATAGCAACAAATAAGACACAGGTCCTACAAGGACAGGGATGGTGTCGACTCCGAGCTGCAGTGATAAAGTTAGTTTATAACTAGTTAGTTTACTAATTAAATAAACGAGTATAGATAAAAAAAATTATGTTCATTTTATAAACGAAAGAACAAGAATATAGGTGTGTTCGATTTTTTTATGTTTATGAACAAACTCATTTAAAAGCTCGTTTATAAGCTCATTTTTTGACTCGTTTATAAGCTTATTTACCCGACTCTCTTTTTCCTTTTCGTTTACATTTTAAATATTGGTAAAAGTAGAAATTAAATTGAACACAAAGTGAACTTTGGAGTTCAAACTATGAAGCCTAAACGAAATGAACACGAACACCAATAAAAAATGAACATGTACAAAATTATATTCATTCAAGTCCGATTCATTTACACTCTTAGTAAGAAATTCAATAGAGCGAAGAGTAATTTATATCCGAATTTGTTTATTATCCATATGAAATCCGAATGATACTATCCGAATCCGAATTAATTAAATTATAGTTACGTTAACTAAAGCAAATATCACACACACACACACAAAGAATGAGAATGCAGCGAACTTACAGCTTTGGCCTCCTTGTATTCATCAACAGCCTTGTGAAATGCATATGAGAACTTGACATCCGGCCCCAATTCAGGGACAATGTAGTGACTTTAAAAAACGATATAAATATCCATTAATGTCAATTTCAAAATTAAGAAAGAAAAAATCAGCTGAAAAACTCCATAGAAAGTACTTTTGTGACTTACTAGTTAGTGTCAAACCACTTAGTCATTTCCATAGCCGGCGCGGAGGCATTACCCCTAGCCATCGAGAAATAAACATCGAAACCGATCTCGCCACCGTTCCAGCCGTATCTAGGAGGGACTGCGCCAACCATCGCCGTGGTGTCCAACACTTGATCGTAATATGAAAATGTGTTGCTGGGGATAAACTTGGTTCCGGCAGCAGCCATCTGATTCCAGATGTAAGACCTGAATCCGCCGCCGTCGCGTGTAATTCATGGGCACTGATTTTGCCATCCCAGAAGGATTCTAACGCGAACTTTAACTCCCTCTTTGGACCTATCCGAGGATAACCGACGATGTGGGATGCCATTGCTCTGATAGAGGAAGGTGGGAGGAGTGTTTTTTGAGGAGAGAAATACAGAGGCATGCAGGGCAGAATGTAAATTATTAGATAAGTGAGGGTGAAGATTAGGGATGATAACTATGCAGCTTTACCCTTTTGGCTCGAAATTTTAAAATTTAATTCGATTATTATAAAATCAAATTGAGTAAACCACTTTGTATAAACTATATTATTATTATTTTAAAAATTTAATTCCGAGCTACATATATTCCATTAATGATGTTTCATGTTGATAATGCATATAGTTTTAATAAATAAATTTAATTAAATGTCAAATTATATAAAATAAGAGTTTCAATAATAATAATAAGAGAAATGATAAAATTATTTTAAAAGTAATCGATAAATTTGACAGGATAAAAGATTAAATAACCACCATTGAAGTCGATCCCATAAGGGAAATAGTTGGCCTTTGCAAAAGAAGGTCATTGTTGTTGTCATTGTGGATGAGAGAATCTCCAAATATGAACATTGTAGGCACCATTTCCTTCGGTTCCTATCATCAGGCAAAAATAAAATCAACGAGATAATGTGTTGAATTTTTTTTTCTCGAGATAGTGTTCTCGTCAGATTAATTGCTCATATAGGGTGATCTCTACAGTCCCCATGTAGTTCGCCAGAATCTCCGGGCGACGTCCCTGTGTGAGATGGGGTAGGTCGCCATGCACGCCCAACGACCTACCAGGTCGCCATGCAGTCCCCAAATGGCATTATAAAACAAATATCTGAAGTGCTTATAGGAACTAAAAATGCATATAGGAACTAAAAATGCATTAGGCCTCAAGCAATTAGTACCTTCGAGTATTTTCCTTTCCATCTATTAATGAGCAGTAGTAATTTGTGATGATGTATGTGTCCTCTGTTTACATTGGAATGATGTCTCTTTGGTCTGCGATCAAATCACTCGAGCATGTGGGAGGAAGTAACTCATCCATGTGTTTCATAATGCCATTTGAGGACTGCATGGCGACCTTTGGGACTGCATGGCGACTGGTAGATCGTGGCGTGCATGGCGGCCTACCCATCTCACCACCGGAGCACCTGACGACCTACATGGGGACTATAGAGATCACCCCATGAGCAATTAATCTGTCGAGAACACTATCTCGTAAAAAAAAATTCAATGCATTATCTCGTTGATTTTACCGGCAAAGAAACAAAAAGGGGTTTGGTCCGTCCCCTAAAGCCACATTGCTCAACGTCGTACTCAGGCAAACAATGATGCAATACGTCAACAAGTTCTCCAACACCATTGTCGAGCTTCAAGTTTAACGAAGACAGAGAAAGGAGAGTTCAGCTAGAGCTAGGGGTGGAGAAGGTATTAAATAAGAGAGGTAATGTGGGTAGATGGAAAAGCAGTAAATGAAATATCCACGTCAGCATTAAAAATGTCAGCATTTAATAAATATTAAAAATTTAATTTATCATTGTAGAAGAAAAAAAATACAGCTTTCAAGTTGGTCGATGAGGTAGCGAAGTACAAATACAAAAGGTCAAAGTGTTTCCCGAGCCGCTTATAATTTCAATGGCATAAACACACGTATCCGTTGAGATTTGCAATGAACTATTTGTCTTTTTGTACCCTAAAATCTAGTTTTTTTACAAACTTTTACAGTAACCAAGTCATACAAGTTGACGTTAAAACCAAACCCTCTTTTTGTCCTAGTCCTAGACATAATCGCCCTATTTCCCCATTAATTCGGGCTATTTTCTTACACCTACATCGTCCCTTTCTTCAACTAAGCCACTCCACCAGATTCCAGTAATTAAGATAAAAAGATGGGTCAAAGGCAGAACGATGATCATCACAATGTTTCAAGTGGATTTGACATGCAATTGATCGGCAACTTTCTGAGCTTTGCTTCGAGGGGAGATAGGGTCGGACTGAACCAGATGTTGAGAGACGGTATTTCGCCGGACGTTCAAGACTACGATCGGAGAACCGCTTTGCATCTCGCCGCCAGTGAAGGCCATGCCCCTATTGTCGAGCTGCTTCTGCTTTACAAGGCCAACGTCAACCTCATTGATCGATGGAACCGTACTGTATGCACCGATTTCATCACTTTCTTTGCGTTAATGTTTGCTTTCTTCATGTTCACAAGATTATCATTATGTTATACCTATGGAGATATAATTTCTCTGAAAATATAGTTTTTCCATAAAGGAAGTCTCTGATCCACCATAAATCTTGGATAAAATCTTTTGATAAATTTAAAAGATTTATTAGGGTCAAATTTACTAACATGCGACTGTAATTTATCGACCTACGAATAGTAATGATCTTAGGTCTGACACAAACATATATATATATATATATATATATAAGAGATTAATATATAACATCTAATGACATATAAGAATAAATCTTTTTCTTCTAGATTTTATTACTGCTCACACTTCTAGATTTTATTACTGCTCACAATTTTCTCTCAACATTATCGATCAATCATTGTTTAATTATCGACAACTCGTCTAAGTCAAGAGGGTGAAACATCCTAAGTTGATTTAATCATCTTGTTACGATCAACGATATGTTACAAAACACCAATTTAATTCAATTAGTTGCTGAAAATCTAGTCGACAACCAATAAATTACTTTGGTTTTCCTTTTTTGAAGCCTTTAACAGATGCAAGACTGTATGGACATCGAGATATATGCAGAATCCTAGAAGTAAATGGAGGCAAAGATATAGATGATAAAGAATTCATCAATAATCAGCCAACCATGAATGATCAAGCTCCAGTGGTATAGCAAATTTTTACTAATACTCCAAAAACTTTATGCTCTTTGAATTCAAAACAATTTGTCCATGCTGTGCTGCAGACGGTCCGGCATGAACCGGATTCAAATGAAGTAATTGATATCTCAGAACTGGATGTTAACAAGTCATCGGTAATTAAACCGCAGGTTAGTTTAATCTTATTACATAATAATGTGGTGTTCATAAAATAATATGAAATTGATTTGAAAGTGGATGGTGTTATATAGGGTGTATATGGTGAATCCGAGAAGGTAAGATGGCGTGGAACATGGGTTGTTAAAACAGTGATCAAAAGCCAGATTCAACACCCTGTCAAAATGTATGTATTATATATGATTAAATTAAGGCTTAAGGAGGTTAAAGCCTTTAATTCGTTTTACATTTAATTGAATATTTGAATTATAAAATTAAATTAATTAAATTCTCAATAATTTTTAAAGATACTAAAAAATTTTCTAAAAAAACATTAAAATGAATAATTTTTAGAAATGTCATACGTAAACATTGAGACAACATATATCGGTTGACCGTTGATCCAAAAGATAATTGGATTTAATCATCAATTTTGATTAAAGATAGTTGGATTTAATCATTAACTAAGTTTAATTATTTATGTAGACATTGTCAGTGACAAATACGAAAATACTTTTAGGTGGGCACGTATGTATTATAATTCAAAATTTTCGTATTAAATGGCACAAATAAAATTTTACAGTGAACACAATAAAAAATATATATAACTAAATAAAGAAAATTTGAATTTCAAGATAGACACATGTACACTCTAATATATGGGTAGATCGGCCACTTGATTACAATAACATTACTTGAACATATATATTAAGAGTGTTATGAAAGTTTAGACACGATATATTAAGTGTGTCATAGATAAAAACATTGAATGTCTTAGGTTGAGATGATGTAGATAAAAATTTAAACATGACACATTAATGTGTCTTAAATAAAATATTGTACATAACATTCACGTCAGATAAACATAAGATCATGTTATGAGTATTTATTATTATTTTTGATAAATTTGAGATAATATAAAGTAGTATATGTTTAAAGATTATTAATCCTTTGATAATAAACGCTCATACATGTGACATACGTTGTACTTAAATCTAAAATCTCCAGAAATAACAACAAATTCTTAACAACAAATCATGTTAAAAATAACTTTTTACCGATAAATGAAAGTTTGATGAGATTTAATGTGATTTATTTTGGTCAGGATATTATCTTCAAAGGATAACACGTTGTTGCACGAACTTCGGCATCCCAACATATTACAGTTCCTGGGTTCAATCGTGCAAGGAGAGGAAATGATTTTGATTACTGAATATCTACCGAAAGTAATTTCATCAACTTTAACATCAGTATTTGCTTCATAAACTAATACATTGATTGATTTTAAATGGTAAATAAGGATAACTTGGATCTCATACTGGAAAAGAAAGGTCGTCTCGACTTCCCCACTGCCTTGCGTTATGCACTTGATATTGCTAGGTACCTTCACTCTTCCTTTCTTTCTCGTTATGTATATAATATTTCGAAAGATAACATTTGAAATTAATTTAAAAGAATATGAGTGCCACATTGTAAAAAAGTATTAAATTCAGATGTTAAATTTATAATGTTTGACAGATTGGTTATTCATGTTATGTGGCACTATTTGCATTTCCATGTTATGGATGCTTTTATTTATATGCATAATGTTAAATTTAGCTCTCAACGTTTATTAAAATGGTCATTTGGTTCTATTCATTTTTTAGAAGTATTTTGACCTCCCAATATTTCATTTTTGGGCAAAAAAGTCTCTCCATAGATGAAAACGTTAGTTAATGCTCTAAAATATGAGTTTTTTATCCTAAAATGAAACATTGAGGCTAAAATGCTCTAAAAAGAATAAGGACTAAATTGACCATTCAGTCAATTATTAGGGGCCTTTTTACCCTAAAATGAAACATTAGGTGCCAAAATGCTTCAAAAAAATGAATAGGGCCAAAATGAATATTTTGATAAATGGTGGGGGCTAATTTTGATACAATGCCTTTATTTGTAACATGCCATATTTTTATTGGTTAATATTGTCGTTTTTAACATCATTAATTTTTTTTAAATAAAATCAGATAAAATGATAGTTTAAGTACTAAATTGGTAAAAATAATAATTTTGATACTGATATGAAAAACGAATAAAATTAGGGGACTAAACTGAGTTTTTAACCTATAAACCTAATACAAAATGCTAAAAATCTGTGGATTAGTATTCAGCTTAACATTCTAATTCCAAGACAATGCTTTCAATGGCATGATTTAAATGTTCCATAGGGGGATGAATTATCTTCACCAGCATAAGCCAAAACCAATAGTGCACAATAATTTGGATCCAAGGTAAGTTTTATCCCTAATTTGGTCAAGATGTTGAATTTTTTTTCATGGGTACAATGTTTATATTATCCCGATCTATTCTCACCTATAAATTTAAAAATAACGAGTGTTTAAACATGTTTAACCTCACGTTTTTTATATAATATAACAGTAACGATGTTAATCGAAATATATATTGACTATTTGATTTAGCTAACTTGATAACGTTTTTAGAAATCTATTGCAAGACGAGAGTGGGCACTTGAAAATTGGGGAGTATTGGGTTCAAATGTTGTATGAACAAATACGTCCAAATCAAGGGAGTTGTATGTTGTTTCATTCCCTCAACTTTCATCTTCAATTTCATGGTTGATTTATTAATATGTATATAATTAATTTAATTTAATTCAATTTTATTTTTCTTTTCACAGCTCAAATAGATGAAAATTATGACACCAAGAAAGATGTTCGTGCATTTGGGTGCATACTTTACCAGGTTTGTTCTTTAACATCTTTTCTATATACAAATTGTTTGATCACCCATACTTAATTTATGTTAGGTGATGACAATTAGTTATTATATTTATAATAACAATTAAGACAATTTACTTTAATAGTCACTGAATTTAGGTCGTATATTGATTTTAGTACTCATTAAACTTTAGTTTACATTTCAATTTGACCACTAAACACTTTATAACAATGTGATGTGAAGGTTGAAATAATATTGTTTACCTTAATAATCATTATCGTTAATAATTAACACGTGAAACCAAAAAAAACACTAATTCAATCATGAATTTAAAGTATGATGGAAGGATATTTAAAAATAAAAAATAAATAAAAGGACTACTCAAGAAATTATATCTTTTAGCGACAGTATACTATAATTGTTTTTGTCTAATTCTGAATGTTTGAAAACATGTGTGGCGCAGATGTTAGAAGGAAGAGATGTCCTACTTGACATCGACTTTTGTAAAAACATTAATTCTGTTGATTTGGAAATTAAGTTTCCAATAAGTCGATGCCCAAGAAGAATTCAAGAGTAAGTTCATATACTAATATTTAAAGTTTAAATTACATTTTTATGCTTAATATATAGGGTAAAGTACATAGATAGTCTCTCGATTATAGGGTATTATTTTGTTGAGTCCTCCAACTATTAAAAGTTACAAAATGATCTTCTAACTATAAGGTGTTGTTTTATTGAGTCTCTCTACTATTAAAAGTTATAAAATGGTCACCCAACCATTCATATGTTACAAACTCGTCATCTTTCATTAAAAAAATTGGCGACCGTCTAAGTTTGACGTTAATCTATTGACTGAGATATGATAAAATCTGATCCCAAAATTGTTTTAGTTTTATTGTGTGGATCAACTCTCTGTTTACATTATGTCGTTGAGTTTGTGCTTGAAACATAATGTCCGTGAGCAAGATCTTGAAAGCAATGGTGGTGCCAATAGACATTATTAAAATATAATTTTATCGTATCTTAGTCAACAAGTTAACGTCCAGCTCAAACGAGCATCAAATTTTTAATAGAAAATGGCGAGTTTGGAACATATGAACAGTCAAGTGATTATTTTGTAATTTTTAATAGTCAAGAGACTCAACATAGCAACACCCTATAGTGGAGGACCATTTTAATGTCAAATTTAGTAGTGTGGATATAAAAAAATATTACTTTTGTTATTTTTAAGAATTCTTTTAAAAATATAGTGAAAATTTAAGATTAAATAAATGAGGACGACTACTTTTTTTATGTAAGCCTATTTTTATGCTTATTCCTAGTTTAACACTTAAACTATATCTTATTCTTAATTTGATCCTCCATCTGTCCCCCATTGATTGATTTGAAAGGGTTTTTTTATGTAAGCCTACTTTTAGATTTATTAATAGTTTGATTCTTAAACTATAACTTATTCTTAATTTGATCCTTCATGTTTCACTCATTGATTGGTTAAAAGGACCACATCGTTTCTTTAACAGTGTAAGGTAGAGACCAAAACTATTGGTTGAATAAAACTTAAATATCATATTAGATAAAAACCTCAGGGGTCAAAATAGGAATTAGATTATACTTTAAGTGTCGAATTATCAATTAAGCCTTAGTTTTACTTAATTCCTGTTAATTAATTCATTTTACTAATCATATTGGAGTTTGTAATTTGTAGACTTGTACAAGAATGCACAAGTAATGATCCTTCAAAGAGGCCACCCTTTTATGCCGTCATTGGAACTTTAGAGGAAGCCTCAAACGGTATGGGAAGAGCGTGTATCGGACAATACTGTGCCTAAATAATTAAATGTTTTATTATTCGCTTCAATTGAAAAAAAAACAGATTTTGTCAAAAAAAATTGCATTACTTGTTCCAAAATATATATTTTTTAATTTTATTTATAAATATTATCCTGTAATCATTTAGAATAATAAAAAATTAAACATTAATAATATAAACAAATTTTTTATCTTTTGATATATATATCACCAGCCACCCTAATGAGCATCTTTACAACATCAATCATGTAACGACCCACGCACCAATCTACCAAACACTAAGGGCATCAACAACCAAATATATCAATGGCTAACAACACTAGAAGCGAGGAACCCCTTCAAGACCAGTGCAGCAGAATCACCAAATGTTCTCCGGGAAAGAACTAAAAACAACCCAAGAAAATGTGCAGCTACAGAAGCAACACTCGAGCAATAATCCCAAAATAACAACCTCGCATAGACGACTACCAAAACTTGTCATCAAGAGGGATTCAACCAAAACTTATGGGGGGTCAGTTAAGGACAAAGGAAGAGTTGAACCTCTGAACTCCACATTGACTATGACCAATGACGAGTATCTGCCTTGACTAGAGAAATTGCTTGCATAATTACAACCCTCGGGGCAGTCAGACTCTACCAAGAAGACAATGACAGTAGTGACAACCTCAACAGTCATAACGAAGAAACTTGAGTTAAACAGTAATCTGGACACTCTGATGGCACCACTGCCTCAAATAAACACATTCAGATTCCTGCTTTAGCCAGCATGATTGTATCATATGTTAGAAAATAACAACCCGAGACATAAAATAAAAAAACCCCAACTTTGCAGAATATCAAAATCAAAGTGGTTGAGGCATGCAATTGTTGCGGAATATGGCTATCGGATAGAGCAAAAACGCAACTGATAATTTGAGAAAATAAAAATGAAGATAAAAGAGACACAAAATTTACGTGGAAAACCCCTAAATAATATAGGGTAAAAACCTCGGGCAACGGTAGAAGAATTTCACTATGAAAAAAAATAGGAATTACAACTTCTCTCGATCTACTAAGGAGAAAACAATGATAATTCTCTCTTGATAAAAAGGAGAAAACGCTCAAGAAACTCTCTAAATTCTCTAGTATTAGGAGAAAACTATAATGATTTGGGATGGTTTTAAAGCTAAATGAGCTAGGGTATTTATAGTTGAAGCCTAAGGACTAATCTTATAATACCCTAAAGTACAATGACTAAATTGGGTAATTTACCTTTACCAAAATTCAACAATTTTTGCTGCCACCAAAAGCAATTGTTGAACAATTGCAGCTGCCACCGAAAGTTTCTTTAACTTTCAACAATTGTAGGTTTGACTTTTAACAATCTCCCACTTGAAGATTTGATTTGAATAATCATATCTTCTCACCATTCTTTCTACCTTGTACCTTCATGTTGCTTACGTTTTTGACAGGCCACAAGAGGATCCACACCAGGTAAATTTATCAGCATTGAATGCCTTCGTCATGAAATTTGTTATGTTGTCTTTGGTATGAATTTTCTGCATATATATTGTCCCTTCTTCCACTTTTTCACGAATGAAATGATATTGAACTCGTATGTGCTTTGTCCTTGAATGAAATGTTGGATTCTTTGCTAGATGCAAGGCGTTTTGACTGTCACAAAACAGAGAGACATACTCTTGATTGTGACCAAGCTCCTCCAATAGCATCTTCAACCAAATTGCTTCTTTACTGGCTTGTGTAGCTGCTACATATTCTGCCTCTGTTGTGGATGTAGCCACAACTGACTACAATTTTGAAACCCAGCTTACAGCTCCACCAGCAATTTTGAACACATATCCTGTAGTAGATTTGCTTTTATCCAAATCCCATGCATAGTCAGAATCTATATACCCATTGATTAGTAAGTTTGATCCTCCGTAACATAATGCAACATTTGAGGTCCCTTTGATGTATCTCATAATCCTATTTATTGTATCCCAATGCTCTTTGCCTAGACTCGCCATGTATCGACTAACCACTCCCACTGCTTGTGCAATGTCTGGTCTTGTGCATATCATAGCGAACATTAAACTTCCCACTGCCGATGCATATGATACTCGAGACATCTCCATCCTCTCTTCTTCACTGCTAGGACTCATACTGGAGGATAATTTGAAGTTGATAGGAAGAGGGATAGAAATTAGCTTACAATATTGCATGCTGAACCGTGACAATATATTTTTCAAGTAATTCTTTTGTGAAAGTCAAATCTTCCTATTACTTCTGTCTCGGTGAATTTGCATCTCTAGAATCTTGTTTGTTGATCCCAAGTCCTTCATTTCAAATTCCCTAGCCAATTGTGCCTTCAATTCTTCAATATGACCTTTGTTAGGTCATGCAACCAACATGTCATCCACATACAACATCAATATAACAAAATCGTTATCACCAGACCTCTTGAAATAAGCACAAGGGTCTGCATTAAGTCTGTTGTATCCAAGGCACATAATGAAGGAATCAAATCTCTTATACCAACACCTCGGCGCATGCTTTAGACTGTACAGAGATTTATTCAACCTGAAAACCAAGTTCTTCTTTTCTTTTTCTTCAAAACCTTCAGGCTGGAGCATGTAAATCTCTTCTTCAAGATTTCCATGAAGAAAAGTTGTTTTAACATCTAGCTGCTCTAGATGTAAGTTTAATGTAGCACACATTATCGAAACTACTCGAACTGTTGTTAGTCGAACCACAGGAGAAAATATTTCATTGAAATCAATACCTTCTTTTTGAGCATATCCTTTGACCACCAGTCTTGCACGATACCTCTCCACTTGATCATCACCATTTCACTTGATTTTGAAGACCCATTTGTTACCGATTGGCTTCCTTCCTTGTGGTAGTGGCACAAGGTCCCATGTATTATTTTTATGAAGGTCTTCAATTTCTTCTTGCATCGCCATCATCCACAGTGAAACACCTGAGCTGTTTATTGCCTCCTGGTATGTTGATGGCTCACCGTCCTCTGTTAAAAGGCAGTATGCAATATTTCCTTCTATAACATAATCTGAGTGTCAATTAGGACGTCTTCTCACACGATCTGATTGACGAGTTGTTGGAGCTTCAGAACTCTCTTGTTCTTGTTCATCATGTGCTGGTTCTGCTTCAGAAGAATCTTCTTGTTCAACCTCATTTTCCACATGTATCTGTGTAGTCTCTGACTTTTCAGCACTATCATCATCTTCTTTTATTTGTTGTTTATCTTCTACAAAAATAACATCCCTGTTGATGATCACTTTGCGGGCAGTGGGATCCCACAAGCGATACCCCTTTACACCATCAGTATACCCCAAGAATTTGCATTTCCTGGATTTTGGATCCAACTTTGAAATTTCTTGGGAGTTGTACATAATGTACACAATACTTCAAAATACATGAAGGTTTGAATAATCAGCTGGTTTACCAGTCCACATCTCCATTGGTGTCTTCAGCTCTATTACAGTTGATGGAGCCCGATTCACCAAATAACATGCAGTATTGACTGCTTCTGCCCAGAATGATTTTTTATGCCTGCATTCCTCAACATTGCTCTTGTTATTTCTAACAAGGTTTTGTTCATCCGCTCTGTCACTCCATTTTGTTGAGGAGTGTTCGTCACTATGAACTGTCTTTTGATGCCTTCTTTCCTGCAAAAGTCATCAAATTCTTCGCTTGTGTATTCTCATCCATTATTTGTTATGAAACACTTGATCTTATTTTCATAATCAAGTTCTACCTGCGCTTTGAAGTTTTTGAAAGTTGAAAACACGTCTGACTTCTTCTTAATAGGGTACACCCAACATCTCCTGGAGTAGTCATCAATAAATGAGACAAAGTATTTTACTCCGCCTAGGGTTGTAACTGGTGCTTGCCATACGTCAGAGTGAACCAATTCTATAATACTTTTACCTCTAGAATTTGACGTATTGAATTTCAACCAGTGCTACTTACTTGTTATGCAATGCTCACACAAATGAAGTGATATATTTATTAAGTCTGGAAGTAGCTTTTGCTCCACAAAGACTTTCACTCCTTGTTCTGACATGTGTCCAAGTTTCTGATGCCATAGCATTGCAAAATCTGAACTACACGAGGCAACAGAGGCTTCTGCTTCTAGCAAAGTCTCTCCCTTCAGCATGTACAAGTTTGCTGCTATTTTTTCGCCTTTCATCACCACAACCGCTCCACGGAACACCTTCATGATTCCTTCCATTTTTCAATCTTGCTTGCATTATTATCTAACAATCCGTAGGATAATAAATTTTTCTTCAGGCCTTTCACGTGTCGCACATCTCGAATAACTTTAATTGTTTCGTTATACATCTTCAATTTAATGGTTCCCACGCCAACGATCTCTAAGGCATGATCATTGCAACTATACACATATCCTCCTGAGACATGTTCATAATGATGGAACCATTCTCTTCTTAAGATAATGTGATATGTTGCTCCCGAATCAATGAGCCATATATCTGCATATCTCTTTCTATCTTCCACGGTGGTTGACGCTTCACAGCATAGAGCATCTCCATCATCTGAAATGTTTGCGGTATTGCCTTGTGGATTGGAGTTTTTATTTAGACTCCAACAATCATTCTTCAAGTGACCCTTCTTTCCACAGTTGTAACACTTTAAATTCTTCTTGCTCCTCGACTTCGATCTACCATGTTTGTGACTGCTATTTTGGCCACATTATGTTGATCTCCCTCTCATCGTTGTCAACGCTTCTGCTTGTTGCAGATTTACTTGTCTGTCTTCCTTGTTATTGCGCCAATTTTCTTCTTGTAGAACAGCAGCTACAACGTCATCAAAGACTAAACTGGTGACATTACTGTTTGTCAAGTTGATTATGAGTTGATCATACGAATCAGGTAGACTTTGAAGTAAAAGTTTAGCACGTTCTTGTTCTTGTATTGTACATCTTAGGGATGTAAGCTAAGAAAATAAAGTGTTCAGCGTGTTTAAGTGCTCCGCCACTGAAGTAATTATGGCATCCGGAGAG